AATCAAATGTGCAGTGATAATTGAGAAAGAGAAACTGAGTGTTTTCGGACGCTAGCATGTGCAGCGTTTCAAAGTAAAAGGTTAAAAGCGTCGAGAAATCCATTTAAACGGGCAAACAGACATAATTGTAATTAATTAATTATTATTTACCGAAAGTATGATTATGCAGATACACCAAGTTTCTATTTTTCAAACTGTAATTAATAATAATAAAGAATTTCAACCAAGCGGTACTTTTCAAAGCGATCAATCATAGCTCACATGCTGCACGTTACAGTTTTTTTCTACCACCAGGTGGCAGCATTGTTCCACGATTTGTTGCACGTGAGAGACTAAATGGCAAACTGTCAGGAGACGAAGATGGAGTGTTTAATGTCACAGCTGAGCACTTACAACAACAAAAACGTGTCGCTGACTGCCATACTAATAACCAGAAAGGCTCAAATAAACACAGCTGCTATGAGACTCAGGCACTGCAGTCTCAGTATTTGTTAAATCTTCTTCTACCTTGAATTTTCCACCACTTTCTTTCAAGTAACTTTCTTGAAATAAAAGGAATAAAATCGTTTGCAGCTATAGAGAATAATCCATTTGGGAATTTCTAATCTGCAACCTACCGAGGTCATACCTCAGACTGCTGTGGATTATAATGCGTTCAGTTTAAAAATATGTTTTATGTCCTTATTCTTGTATTTCCTTTAATTTACTGATAGAAGGAAGCTGAAACTTCCAATTAATCTTCAGTGTAAGCCTGAACTCTAATAACTCTCTAATAAAAATTAATCAGTTCATTTAGGATGTTTAGCAGGAAAGTATAAAAGTATAGAATTGTCTTGGTGTGCCGTTCAACACAACGATACTCACCTGCTTTATTAATGTCAACACCTTTGTGTGTTTCAGCATATATGTTACATCTTGGGATTATTTAAAAGCAAACATGTCTAAGCACAGACTTGGATATGTCTGCTCCACCTCTTCCAAGTGTTGAATTTTCTTTCTGTAACACGTGAAACACACATGTTGTATTTAACTTTCTTGCAGTTGTGTTTTTTAGATTTGCACCACTCTCTTGCACGTTGTCAGTCTTACTTTTTCCTCATCTTCAACTTTATATTTGTTTTTTATTTTCTTTGTCTTTTTTATCACTGCTGTGTATATATAAAAACTGCACGTCTCACATTATAAGCCCCTCACTATGCACTTGTGGCACTTATTTATTTTAAACTGTACTAGTTTTAATGTTTATTCCGCTGCTGTAACGCAATAATTTCCCCTGTGGGATCAATAAACTATCTATCTATCTATTTATATTGGATAGCTTGCCCTCAAAGAATCAGTAAAATCCCAGCGTAACCATTTATAATAAATCATAATTTATTTGGAGTTTAGATTTGCAGTTAAAGTACAATAATTAAAAGTAGAAAGTAGAAAGTTAGATAATAATAAAGTAAGATAAAAGTAGAGATTTCAGCCACAACTGACGTAACTTTGAAAGAGTAGTTTTGTGTGAAGAAAAACAGGAATTGCTTTTCTTTCCCAGTACTTCCATTGATTTACTTCTGCTTGAAACAGTTCCTCATTAGTGCTGCTCACTGATCACACGTACAGGTCTGTAGTTGCCCCAGGCAGCTTCCCTGCTGTGCACTATATGTGTGTGCAGTTCAGGTCTGTACTATCTGAAGTGATCGAGGGGTGAAGCTGAATTCACAGAGCAGAGCTGATGAGAGTGGTGTCCCTGCCAGAGCAGGACCACAGTTCTCAGGCCCTGAATAGCCTCACACAGCTCGGCCTGAAAGCGGGAGGTCGGTATCCGTCCCCTTTGTCGTGGAGCCGATAACACCGTTCCGGACGGGAGCGCATTGTGGCCTGTGACCCCCGAGGTCATGGGGTGAGGGGAGAGTGAACAGAGGCCAGGCTTTAAGGACTGCTTATGGAGTTCCTCTTTCTTCCACGGGACGCGTGGCTCGCTAATTGAGGAACCACCTCCTCAAACCTCAAGTGTGAGGCGCTTGACGCCCAAAAGTGACTGCTGCAGAGAAGTGCAGGGAGAGGAGTGAAACAAAGGGACAAAAATTGAGTGAAGAGTCCTTTTCGTGGCTGTTTTGCTCAGCTCCGTTACTATTTTTTACAATTATTGGTTATTTTTGGCATTTATAGGTAATATTTTAACCTTTAAAATATATACATGTAAGTTGAGTCTTGAAAACTCAGTATGAACTAAATATATGTGTTTCCTAAATGATTATAAAGCTCAGAAATTTGGGAAATCTCCACATTTTTAAAAGCTAAAAATAGAAAACGTTTCTACTGAAATTAACCCCCAAAATTAATGGTTTCTTTCCATCAGCCAATCAGCTACTAGTCGGAGTGAAACTATTTCCACAGGCAAATAAAATGTAATAATAAAAAAAATCCATTTACGTTAAAAATGAGACCATAAATATCAAAATAAAGAATTATTGCTCTTCAAATTTTCTCAATGAAAAGCTTTCTCCACATCACGTGTGGCAGATTTTACACGATTCGATGTGCGATGGCGGCTGAGAGTTTCAGGAGAAACGGAGGATGATTTACCCCCGAAGATATCGCTAATGATCGGGCAATCCTTTCAAGACTTAACACGATTGCGTTCGTCTGCACAAGTAAGAGAAAGAAAGAGGGGGGTGGGGGGGGCGAAGTTGAAAAGGCGTGCCAAGTTGGCTGGGAACCTCGGCACTGAGCTGTACCCACAGCCCTTCCTTCACCCCACCATCACAGCTCGCTGGGATACAAACAGCCTTTGTTGCTGCTCGTGCTTCTGAATTCCAATTTGGAAAAATGCAGAAGCTTTCTGTTTGTTTGTTTATTTGTTTGTTTTGGGTGTCTGATTTCTGGACTTAATACTACAATATTCAGGGATGTAACTGACGTGTAATTGCGTGTGTTTGTCTACAAATTTCATTTTCTTAATTTTGCATTTAAAAAAAGAAAATCATATTTACATTTTCAAAGGTGCTTAAGAGACAGTAATGAACATAGACCTCAGTAAACAGACTGAAGAATTTCAGGCTTATTTTACAGTAATCGGTGAGCTGATCAGAACTGCGGAGAAGGAGGGAATGACCTTTTTTTGAACGTTCGTGTGTATTTTGCAGCAGAATCATTGGAATGGATGAGATTTAATTTAACGTGATCCACAGGTCTGAATCCTCACCAGTTTTGCAGCCTGTTACTGAGA